ATATGTAGGTAATTCCTTTCCCTGGTAATTTAAGCCAGTATCTTGAAGTGCTTTGCATGACTGGACCTGAACTTAAACTGAACTTTGATTCTTGTTAAGAAGCTGTTGTAATGAGAAGGACCCTGGGAAATTGCATCCATACTGACCAAAGTTTTCCAGATGGCTTGGTTCATTTCTGCTCTAAATCTTTCAAAAGTTGTTTCTTGAGTAAGCTGATGAAATCTTGTTCTGGAGGTATGCTGGACACACACTACTAGGACATAATCCAGACTCATATAGGCACATTAATGGTGAATATTCTTTATCTGAAATTCTCCCTACTGCTTACTCATGGCTTCAGTTTGGCATCTGAGCACAAAACACGCAGGAAGATTTTAGTCTCCCTATTATATAATTGATGACAGGTAAACTTTCAGTGTAGCATATATTCCCAGGGAAGAAAGCTTATATTTAAAGATTATGGCTCCTGAAAATTGAAACAAAACCTCTCAGTACCTGAGGAGATAACATGCTTAGCCCTGAAAAAGGAAATAGGAGACTATCCAAATGAAGATATCCAGTGAAGTACAACATTGTTATTCACAATTTGAAAAAATAATCCAGTATATTTTCCTTCAAAATGCACTTTTCTGGGCCCACTGCGTATATTGGTTTCAAGGTCTTCATAGAGATATGTATGTGCAAACCTGAACTGTTGAATGTTGTTACTTGTGGAACACACCATTAATATCCCTAATGGATATGAACAAACTGATTATGGGGAAAGTTCTAACACAGTAGAACTTCTCCTTGATGAAGGTGTTGTTCCTTTGTATAAGTAGATGATGTTGTCAGCTCTTTAATAAAGATGTAAATAGATTGATTTTATATAACTTGCAGCCCTAAGACAAAAAAGATGCCTTTTTAAAAAATGCTTTTTGCCTGCAGTGGCTGAACATGACAGAAATAATAATCAGTCTTCACAGAATTGCTATGAAGTGATCAGTCTGAATGTTTAGCTTTAAGCAAGAGAGCAAAAATATTGAAAACCTGAGTGATATGCTCCAAATCACACAGTGCCAAAATCCAAAATCCTAATCTAAAAGACCTAATCTGGGTTAATTGACTGTGCTGAGACCCCACTAATCATCTCTTGGAGAGGAGAGATAGAAATGATTTGCAAACTTGGTGGATATTCAAAATGAGTTTGATCCTAAGCTGTCAAGTTTGACATCTCAAAAAATTTTCAAGTTTGAGCCTTTTGCCTTGCAGTATGAAGAAAGAATGAACTGGAATCTGTATGAACAGAAATTATTTTATTTAGGATCTATCTGTTTCTCTGCTGGACTAGAAATGGCAATAACTTTTCTGTGATCCATGTTTCAGTGCCCTACTGACAAGTGAAAACGTGCACAAGTAGTGCAGTTTATTGCAAGTACAAATGAGCAACTGTAGAGAGATTATTCATTGCACCCTGCCACAGCTCAAGCACAGAATTAATTCAGTGCAGATGTTGAACAAATGGTTTGAATTTTGTTGCAGAGGATGATGCTAGTGACTGCTGACATGGGGAATAACCGCTGTGTCTGCTGGACTTAACATTGCTTGAGCAAAAGTTCAGACTGATGGGGTTTTGCCATTTTGGATCCTCTTCATTAGCAAGGTAGCCAGGCAAGGGGATCCCATATGGCTGGGGCTGTGCCACAGTCACTTTGCTTGTATTCTCTAGCTATCAAAACTTGAAATAGAAAAGGAAAATGGCTTCTGTCCAGCATTATGTGCAGTGCTATTTATCCTAGAGAGATTCTCTGGTGTTGATGTACTGGCTTGAGATCTTCATCAAGACATACTGTAAGTCATAAACATAATATCCACAAGCTTTGAAACACTCAAAGGATTTGTAAAGATGATATATTGATATCAAAGATTCTTTCAAGTCTAGTTTCCAAAAGAATCAGATATTGATGATTATATGTTATAAAAGCGGTAGAGGAATGTTATATGTTTGCCAAAAGTAGAAAACTGTTTTTGGGAAACAAACCTTTGCCTTACATCCACACTTGATCACATTAGCCTGAAAGATTAATTTTAAAATATTATCACAATGATAATTTCTATTGGAAAAAGCATGCCAGAGGGAGAGAAATAGAAGCTGGGAAAACAACTGGGAAGGAATCAGATTAGAAAACTTTCTCAGCATCTTCTGGATTAGACAAGTTCATTCTATAACATTCAAGGCAGAGCTGTGGTGAAAGAGAGAAAAATGGAGAAATCATGGCTGTGACAAATGTTCTTCTGACAGAGCCAGGATTTTACTTGGCACAACCAAACCTGTTTCATTCCACAGATGGGGGCTGTGGAAAGCATCTCTCATGCTGGCAAAATAAATTGCCTTCATGGTATGTCTCCCCTTTGTGAGGTGCCATACAAGATATCCTATACCTCCACTTACATCAGGTGGAAGAACCACAGCTTACAAAGCCTCTACTGAATTAGTGTAAATATATGCAACATGCAAATCAGGAAAGGAGTATAATGAGAGGAACAAAATAGTTTCAAATGCTAAGGGATATGAACACTGAAAGAAGTTAATTGAAAACTGTCAGGAGCTAATATAATATGAGGAAAAGAAAGAATAAGTGAATTAAATGGAAACATCAGGGTAAAAAGAAAAAAATATTTCAGAAGAAACTTACATGTATGAATAAATATATCAAATGGACACTTACTGCTTCTCATTAGAAATGTGTTCTGGAGTACAACTACCAGCTGGTGATGCTTTCAATTCTTTATAAGGCATTGCAAATTCTGTGAGATGGAGAGACATGGTGAATTGTGGAAATGCTTCCTAAAATTTATCCTGCACTGATTGAAAACAAGCCATCCAAGCTTAAAGGAAAAGACTGCTCATCACTGGAAGGTGTAAGTGGCCACATGTGCACTCATCTGATGGGAGGAGAGAAGTGTGCCCCGTGCTTCTGTAGGATGCATGGCCAAGAGCAATCCTAAGTGTCATAGTAAGCAAACTTCTACTATGATTGCAGTGGTGCTCTAGCATTTTAATAGCAACTAAAGGAGTAACCTCATTTAGGACCCATGGCTCAAGGACCCATTGGCTCAGGACCTATTACTTGGAATGAAAATAGGCAAATACCTGTCATGATAGGTTATTTTTTTCCCCATTTTATCAGCCTCTGGAGACTAAACTGCTGAAAGTTGGTCAAACTGGCAAGGGGGCTAATGGCCTTCAGCCATGGTAGCTGGTGGGATCCAAATGAGCAGATGATGATGGCATGGTGATGGTTCCAGCTCTGTGAAGGAAAACTCCTGCTGATTTGGAAGTTCTCCTTGATGAACACCACATGTCTATACTGAACTTTCTCTTCTATTTACTTTACATTTTCTATGAAAGTAATTTCTATGTGAAGGAATAAGGAAACTACATGCTTAAAAACAAAATCTAACTGTAGTGCTTAGAAGTATGTTTATTCAACTGTGAAGTTCCCTGCTGAAACAGGGATTGATAGACGTTAGCCATATTTTATCACTACTCTCATGAATGCCAGGACTAGAAATGCTCAGGAAAAGCTGATGCCAACAGTAATCTGAGCCATCAGCCCTCAGCTGAACATGTAGTGAGAGGATTTATTCTTGCTTTTTTTCATTGTGCTTATTCCAGACTTCCCACAGCAGGTCTTAATGAAAAATATTCCAGAGTTCAGTGACAGTTCCAAGTAACTGACAGATGAAACAAAGTTCACCAAGAACTTTATTAAGGAAGAGGATACCTGAGACAGGATTTAGGAGAGATGCAGGTGATTAGCAATCAGTGCAGGTGAGTATCAATTATACTGTGATCCTCAAGACTTTCTGTCAGCTTGCAGTCAAGCTGCACATGCTTACTCTGTGTTGACAATCCAGTCTTTGACTTTCTAAGCAGTCAAAGTTTGATGTCTTCCCAGTCCAGACCAACTTTCTTTGTGCTAATAGTAATTATGGAGCAAGCATTCCATGTCTAAAACCTAAGGGGATGCCAAACTTGAGCTGCTTTCTTCTGTCTGTCTTGTTTGTAGGTGTGACTGCTGTACATGGTGGGAAGAGGACACATCTGCCCCAGGATGGTCTCATGCACAACGTGCAGCAGCAATGAGCTTTGTCCTCAGGCTGCCACTGTGTCCCTTTAATGCAGCAGTACAGCCCATGCACTTCTCTGTCTGCTTGTGAGATGTTTTGTCTGGCGAGGGTGAGAATTGCAAACCTATTTCAGGTCAGGAGAAATCTTCCCCTCTGTTACTATGTGCATTTGCCTATGAATAATTTGTCATTCATTTTAGCATGTGAACTATAAAATACTCTTGAATTTCACCAGATGAGGATTGTCTGAACAACCTACTAGTTCATGATACATTGCAGCTCATGGCAAGGAAAGTATCCAGGAGTGGCTCTTAATAGAAGGGATTTTTCTGTTTCTTTGTCTCTTCATCACCTATCCATCTTCACATGAACACACACACACTCTTGATTATTACTTTGATTAAAATCTTGAGAAAAGTAGAAAGACTTGCAGATTCATTCCTGATCAATGCTGTGTTTAGCTGCATAGTCTGTCCATATTCTCATCACATAATGATGATATTTTTCTGCCTCTGATAAAGAAATAGACACAACCTGTCTGATTGATTAATGGGATGTAGTTGCACATAACGTTACTATGTATGTGTACACTGAACCAGTCACAAACAGCATAATATACAAACAAATTTTTGTTAAAGGAATTTACAAATAACTTCTGCTAAGAGACAGCAAATGCAGGTAAAATTCATTGAAATAGTGATTCATTGCAATTACTTGATTTGCTTTTGAATACATTTATACGCATATGCAGAGAGAATGTGGGATTTTATGAAAGAGGGAGAAATAATTCAGGATTTTCTTTGTTTCTATACAAACAAAATCTGTATGCAAGGGAGGCAGGGAAAAAGGAGAAAAAAAAGAGCAGAACATTTATGTTTTCCAGAGGCACCTTGACATATCAGTCCTGATTTACTGCACCTTACAAGAATTTAGAGGGAAGGTTGGAGACATTCTTTTCCAACTGGGAAGTACTGAATGGAATTGCTGTGAAGTACTGCTTCATCAGTATTCAGGAGAGTGATGTTCACTACAGCTGGTTGAGAGATGCTGCTTCTGCTCGAGAGGTAATGCTGCATGCCTCTCCACTTCTCTGGGAATCTTTCTACTCTGGAACACTAGCTTTGATCCAGGATTTATGAAAATCTGTTTAATAGCAGTGCAGAGAATGAGTGCAGAGACATTTATAACAGCCAAAATAATTCAGTCATGACCTCTTTGTGTTCCCATAAAACTGTTTTTCCCTCAGCATCAGGAGATGAGTCAGCAGTAGTGATAACAAGAGTTAGAGAAATACTGGAAAAAACAAGTGTCCCAAGTACTTTGGCAGTGAGAAATTAAGCCTCAAAGTGATTTCTTCATGGAACATTTTTTTCTCTCTCCAGGACACCAAATTGACCGAGTATACTAAAGAAAGAAGAAAAAGAGGGAGAGAGTGAAAACAGGACTTGGATGATATTTCTTGGTGTCTGCCAATATCTAACATGCTTTTGGAAAAGTTGTGTAACAGAACCTACCAAGAGAGCCCAGTTTGAATAGAGGTTAGTAATCCTTTCTATTTGGTGCTATGTTTGTGGTTTTGCAGAACTGACCCACAGGGCCTCATTTTTTGACTGGTGAAACAGGCTCTATTTATTCTTAAGCCTATAGGGATCAAGAAGCTGTCCTCTGAATGCATGCCTGACTTGAATTTGCCATCAGTTTACCAGCAGCACTATTATTCTTAAGCCTATAGGACACTTTGAGTGATGGAAAGCCTTGAATGTTATCTTTTATGAAGGAGAGTCTTTGCCTCCAGTGATCAAACATACAGGTACAATGTCAGGCAACTTGCAATATGAAGTGTTATGTTAGAAATAATTAAACAAGGACTGTTGCAAAGGGTTTTTTTATGGTTTTCAGTGTTTTTAATACAATATCTTTTAGATATTTTAATCTACTCTGCGTGACAAATTAAAAGCAGTGTTGCACAATGTTTTTCATTACAGGAAAGTGTCAATAATTGAAATTTTCAAATGAAGGATTATGATTTCTAATACTGAGCTACCTTTGTTTTCATGGCCTTTAGGTGATGGCTATAAAGAAAAAGACAAGGAAAATTATTGAAATTTTTTTTTTATCTTCTTCATAGCAATGAGAGACAAAACTGAGGAGGCATATTCCTACGTGTTGGGAAGTTTGCATCCAGGGACTCTCCAAGGCTGATACCAATGCTGAAAACTGCTGCCCAAGTCTGAAGCAGGCAGTCTGCCTTCTGAATGACAGTCAGGCATGGGATGGGTAGTGGTAGTGGGTGACTCCCTCCTGAGGAGAACAGAGAGCCCCATATGACCCAACCCACAGGGAGGTCTGCTGCCTCCCTAGGGCCTGGGTACAGGATATTAACGAGAGACTCCCTGGGCTGAGGCAGCCCTCTGATTATTATCCACTGCTCTTACTCCAGGCTGGCAGTGATGAGATTGAAAAGAGGAGCAGCAGGGAAATTAAAAGGGGTTTTAGGACACTGGGTCAAGTGGTTGATAGGGTAGGAGAACAGGTAGTGTTCTGCTCAGTTCCTTTCATGGCAGAGAAAAATGATTAAAGGCATAGGAGGTCCCCTATTATCAACAGGTGGCTCAAGGATTGGTGTCATCAGCAGAATTTTGGGTTCTTTAGTCATTGGGCAACTTTTACAGCACCTGGACTGTTGGAACTGGATGGGTTGCACCTCTCTGTTAAAGGCAGAAGGATTTTAGCCCATGAACTGGTGGAACTCACGGAGAGGGCTTTAAACTAGGTTTGAAGGGGGAATGTGATGCAGCTGGGTTCTCTGGAAGCAGGCCAAGGTTGATAAGCCTGAGTTAGAGGTGAAATCAGCAGCCCAGCTGTACACTAATGCACACAGCATGGGTAACAAACAAGAAGAGCTGGAAGCCAAGGTGCAAGGGCAAAGCTAGGATGTAGTCACCATCATGGAACTGTGATGGGACAACTCACATGGCTGGAGCACTGCACTGGATGGCAACAAGCTCTTCAGAAGAGACAGGATAGGAAGAAGAGGTGGAGGGGTGGCCCTTCACTTTAGGGAGGGTTTTGACGCCATGGGTATTAAAACTAATGACAATGAGGTTGAATGTCTATGGGTAAGAATTAAGGGGAAAGAAAGCCAACAAGGCTGACATCCGGCTGGAAGTCTGTAATTGTTCACTCAACCAGGAATGCTTATAGAATGAGCTGGACAACTCATTCTATAAGCAGCTGTAGAATGTTTCAGGATCACCAGCCCTTGCTCTTGTAGGTGATTTTAACCTTCCAGATATCTGCTGGGAACTTAATACAGCAGAAAAGGGGCAGTCCAGGAAGTTCTTAGAATGTAAATGACAACTTTTTGTCACAGCTGGTGAGTGAACCCACCAGGGGAGGGGCTATGTTAGATCTGTTGGCTGCAAATAGAAGTGGTTGGAGGCCACTTGGGGCATAGTGATCATGAAATTATAAAATTCTCAATATTTGGTGAAATCAGGAGGAACATTAATAAGACTTTTACATTGGACTTCCAGAGGGCAGACTTTGGCCTATTTAGGATATTTATTCAGAGAGTTTCTTTGGAAAAAGCCCTTAAAAACAAAGTAGTCCTGGAAAGGTGGACATACTTCAAAACAGAGATCTGGAGGGCATAGGACATTGGGGAGGCCAAAGCTCAGTTCAACCTTAATTTAGCAACTTTTGTAAAGGATAATAAAAAAGGTTCTTACAAATACATTAACGGCAAAAGTAAGGGCAAGACCAACTTTTGTTCTCTACTGGATGTGGGAGGGAACTTAGTAACTGCAGATGAGGAGAAGGGGGAAGTGCTTAACACCTTCTTTGCCTCAGTCTTTAGTGGGAAGACGGCTTGTCCTCAGGACAACAGTCCTCCTGGGTTGGCAGATGGTGTCAGGGAGCAGAATGATCCCCCTGTTATCCAGGAGGAGGCAGTCAAAGAACTGCTGAGCCACTTGGATGTTCATAAATCTATGGGCCCAGATGGGATCTATCCCAGGGTGAGGAGGAGCTGGCAGATGAGCTTGTGAAGCCGCTCTCCATCATTTACCATCAGTCCTGGCTCAGTGGTGAGGTTCCAGATGACTGGAAGCTGGCCAATGTGATGCTCATTCACAAAAAGGGTGGGGAGGAGGATCCTGATAATTTTAGGCCAGTTACCCTGACCTCAGTACATGGTAAGGTAATGGAGCAGTTTATAGTGAGTGTCATCACTTAGAGGATGGCCAGGGTATCAGACCCAGCCAGCATGGGTTTAGGATGGGTAGGTCTCCTTTTATGACCAGGTGACCTGCCTGGTGGATGCAGGAAAGGCTGTGGATGTGTCTATTTGGACTTCAGCAAGGTCTTTGACACTGTCTCCCACAGCACACCCCTGGAGAAGCTGTCAGCCTAGGGCTTGGACAGGAGCACTCTGTGCTGGGTTAGGAACTGACTGGCTGGATGGCCCAGGGAGTGGTGGTGAATGGTGCTGCATCCAGCTGGGGACCAGTCACCAGTGGTGTCCCCCAGGGCTGGGGCCTGTCCTGTTCAATATTTTTATTGATGACATGGATGAGGGTACTGAGTCTTTCATCAGTAAATTTACAAACAACACTAAGCTGGGAGCATGTGCTGATCTGCTGGAAGGCAGGAAGGCTCTGCAGAGAGACCTGGAACGATTGGATGGATGGGTGGAATCCAAGAAGATGAAGTTTATTAAGTCCAAGTGCCGGGTCCTGCATTTTGGCCACAATAATCCCCTGCAGTGCTATAGGCTGGGGACGGTGGGGCTGGACAGGGCCCAGGCAGAAAGGGACTGGGGGTATTGGTGACAGCAGCTGAACATGAGCCAGCAGTGTGCCCTGGGGGCCAAGAAGCCAGTGCCCTCTGGCCTGGATCAGGAATGGTGTGGCCAGCAGGAGCAGGGAGGTCATTCTGCCCCTGCACTCAGCACTGGTGAGGCCACACCTGGAGTTCTGTGACTAGTTCTGGCACCTCAGTTTGGGAAGGACATTGAGACATTTGAGCATGTCCAGAGGAAGCAACAAGGCTGGACAGGGGCTTGGAACACAAGCCCTGTGAGGAATGGCTGAGGGAGCTGGGGTTGTTTAGCCTGGAGAAAAGGAGACTCAGAGGTGACCTTATCACTCTCTACAACTCCCTGAAAGGTGTTTGTGGTCAGGTGGGGGTCAGTCTCTTTCACCACGCAGCATCTGACAGAACGAGAGGACACAGTCTCTAGCTGTGCAAAGGGAAATATAGGTTGGATATTAGGAAAAAATGTTTTTTTTTGAAAGAATGATAAAGTATTGGAATGGTCTGCCTGAGGAGGTGGTGGAGTCACCATCCCTGGATGTGTTTAAAAAAAGACTGGATGTGGCTCTCGGTGCCATGGTCTAGTTGAGGTGTTAGGGCTGGGTTGGACTTGATGATCTTGGGGGTCTCTTCCAACCTAGCGATTCTGTGATTCTGTGATCTCTTTCCTGAGTTTTGGGGCCTATCTGCAACCCAAACCTACTGTCTTTACAGTTTCACTCATGTGATGGACTGACCAGAATCCCCTTGCACACAAGGTCATACCGCACCTCTGATAAAAATCTTGTCGGGTCAGGTCTTTTGTTGGCTGGGCTATGCATGTTTGAACCTGCAAGACTGTGCATCCAGTTGCTTCTGGAGCAGGTGACAATGGGTGACAAAGATAATTAAGAAACTACAACATCTCTCTTACAAGGAAGTGCTGAGGGATCTGGGCCTGTTCAGCCTTGAGAAGAGATGACTGATGGCACCACATTAATGTCTCTGAGTGTCTGAATGGAGGGTGTCAGTGCATGTTTCCAGGCCCTTCTCAGTGATTCCCAGCAGTAGGACAAGAGGCAACAGGCAGACAGGGAAACACAGGAAGTTCCACCTGAATATCAGGAAAAATTTCTTTACTGTGTGGGTAATCAAGCACCAAAACAGATTGCCAAAAGAGGCCATGGAGCCTCCCTCTCTGGAGATCATCCACTGTGGTCCCTTCCAACCTGACCCATTCAGTGATTCTGAAATCCATCCTCTCAGGGCCCTCTGGTGCAGAATTTTCCTATGCTGGTGCTCTGTGTAGTTGGGATAAAGGAATCTGTGTGGTACCTATTTACAGAAATGTAACCATCCATGGGACTTTCTTGGGATAAACAGAGGAAAGAAGGGGCTTGGGGCATTCTGGAGGGGCTTGGGGCATTCTGGAAGGTAGGTGGCAGCTGAAATGGAGAGTTGAGACTCCCTCTGAGGGTGAAAATTTGAGCATTTCTAACAGACTGTAGAAAATATTTGTTGCTGTGACTCTAAAACATTGTTTATTGTAGTAATGAATCTAAAAGGAGGTAAGTGTTTTATGAGGCATTCCCCTAGAACTTTGCCCTCTATATTTGCTACTTGAAACTTGTAAGTGAAAAAAATAAAAGGACCATTGCTGTCTTGTTTTATTGCTCTGGTTGGAACTGTCCTGTGCATAATGCTTGAAAATCTGACTGTAAACCAGCAAAGTCTTTGCCTTGACCCATTCTCCTTCCTCATAGTCATGAGGTTGTCTGTAAAATTAGCTGGGATTTGGATGAAACCTGCTGAGAGGAATATAACATTCCAGCTTTATTCAACCTAGAGCTGTGAGAAATATTCACCACAAAGGATTTACTGTTGGGTTGGATTCATGTAAAACTCTACTTTTGACATACTTTTGACCTGAAACCTGACAATGCTCAGATATTTTGACTGAAGTTACTTTGAGGCTCCAATGCCAAAAGTTAAATAAAAACTCAGAAACTGCAAAGGTGGCATGAAGGGCTCAAACTTAACCCCAAATCTGATTCAGATTTTGTACTG